TGTATTATTATAAGTACCGATATATCATGAAAATATTATGTGTTGTTATTAATTTGTTAGTGCCTAGTGACTCGTCCTGATTTAAATTTAGCAGATGGTTTAACTTTTTTGTTTTTTGTCCACAGATAGCAGTGAGCTGCTTGTGAAGCTGACCATTTAATAAGAACTGAGAATTAGTTAGTGACAAATTTATTACTATGTATGATAAACAATAAAAAATATCAATTTGAATAAATGTGGCCGAACGGCATCCCTTTTTATCAAACTGTTTATTGATAAATCCTCTACATTTAGTGGCTCTGACATATTTACATTACTTGTTTCGATATATTGCCAAGCAAAAAGTTTCAATCAATCCCTTATCCGCTCAGTAACCAAAGTCAGATACCTACAATCTTTTCCTAGAGGCTTATAGATCACGAACACCCATAAAACTCCCTTTTCGCATGTCGATGTTTGGCAAACGTCAGTACACACGATTGTGTAGAGACCATGATTGTTTGTATTCGGCCAAGTTTGCCTGCAAGTTTCCGGTTTAGTCCTGCGAATTTTCGGGTTTTCAATCCAGAACATAGCAATTTGGACAGTAGTACGCGCGCTCGCTTCCGTCAGTGGTTGAATATTCGCCGCGTACCCAGAAATGTGAAAAAGAGGTCTTAAAATGAAGAAATAATACGCAAGCTGAAACGGCTCGTGCGACATAGCGTGTCGACCCTAACCCATCGTTCCCGAGACATCCAGCAGACGTGTCCCACTGAATCCCACTTGAGCCCGACTGACTTATTACCCGCATCGCCGATACCTGAATAAAGACGTAAGCTTCGGTTATGTAAATATAACTTGGCACCGGGTATTGGGTGCCGCCATACTACTTACAGACATTTTGTTCTCTCGTTTTTAAATTGAAATATGTAAATGTCATGCTTTATTACCGTGTGGTATTTTAAGCCTTAAAAATAATTACATAGAGGTACTGCTTCTTTGACAAGCTTTTTAGGGTTATTTTAGTTTACAGTGTGAGAGCCACTTACACAAACTGTACATATTGTTCGGAAGATTTATTAATCTTCATACTAATATTGTAATCATTGTAAATTCTTAACTAAGACTATTTCCAATGTAAGTTGTTACACGTAATCTTTTTGGACTGTGATATTAAATTAACATTCGTATTGTCATTGTACGGTAAAATTGAAACTGAATATACGACATTGGAATGATATTTGTTTTGTTTATTTCCTCAAAAAATATCTACTAATGAACTCATGACGTATCAACTAAAGAACGAGAAAGGAAAATGATTAAAAATGCTTTAATTGTAAATATTGAAGAACAAGAAAACATCATTATTTTATTTTTAATCTACACTTTATAAATAAACTGATTGAATTTCGACGTACTAAAAATAACATAATATATTTGGTGTCATTAAAATTAAAGGTACTTGAGATTGACAGGGCTTATATGATAACAACAATAGAAGACGTCCATGATCGCACGGTACCTATCGATTGAAAACTAAACCTGGATGACGGAGCTTTGCCCGGTATTTTTTTTAGTATACATCATTTTCTGAATATGAAACGTAATTAGATCGACTCATCAACCCCGAAATTGCCTAAATGCAAAGTTTCAAGGTACTTACGTACAAGCATATATACAAGAATTGCTCGTTTGAAGGTATTATATTAGATAGTTTCACGGAAATAAAATCTATCAAAACACCTTACCTACCTCTCAAATTTAGTTATGTAACTAAAAGCTCAAATTCCAAAAAAGACAACGTTAGAGAATTGCGAATTAAAATTATTCTGAGAAAAGTCGTACCCTCTAATAGAAGTTGAACGTAGCGCTGTCAAAATTCTTTGAAACTCTTCATTCGCGATGTTTACGTTCCGCAAACATGTTTAAAATTTCACCGAGAGACCATGCTTGGAATTGAACGACACATTTTGTAGGCCCCCCAGAACATTTGTCACGTGAGTTAATAAAAATGTCAGTTGTCAGATACTTCGTTGTATCTGGACGTTTTATATTGTCGACTTTATTTTGTTTATATTATATCTAACAATGATATACCTAAGTAGGAACTAACTGGACAAGTGACAAATTCGTAACAATAACTTTGTTTTGTTGTTTTGTTTAAGAGTCACCTTTAACCGACTTAAGATGACAAAAAAGGATTTATATTGACTTGTATGTATGTTTGTGCGCGATTAAGTAGGTTTTATTTATACGACTCCAAAAAAGAGAATTTAAATACCTATATTTTTTTTAAACGCAGTTTATAAAAGAATTAAGTATGATTATTTGGTACTAACTGTTTTTAATCGACTTAAAGAAAAGAAAGAGTATGAGTGTATATATATTATGTATGTTTGTCCATAGTAATAATCTACTATACTATATGCGTAGGTATACATACAAGACTGCCAAGAGTTTTCACTAAATTTATAATCAAATTTGGGTTAGTTGAGGTGTGTTAGTAAATAAGTTAAAACCAAGAATAACAAATTTCTAATATAATGCATACCTTAAATGTTAAGTAATCATAATAAACCTATTTAAAAATAAAGTCGTCAGTCATGATTCAGTCGATAAAAACGATAACATTGAAATTCTATTTAAGACTCAATGCCGATCACAATCTAGGTTACGTCAAAAATAAAGGAAAGAAAAAGGAAAATGTCTACAGAATTCATTTTTACAAGATCGTGATTAGAAATATAATTGTATCCGTTGCTCTTGGGAAAAGCAAATAATGAAACTATTGCTGCTGTTGGCCATAAACTGATTCACGCTTCAGATTAATATTAAACGGTTGAACCGCAATGCAAAGATAGAGATATTATGTGTATCTCAGGAAATGATTAGTACGAAAGTAAAAATAATATTTATGATGACATAACTCATTAGTAAAGTCTGTTATGAATATAAAATTTATTCCAGAAAAAGTTCTACTTCTAAAATTCTAAAATTCCACAATTTGGTGTCAAAACAATTCTTTTTAAACTACTTTAGGAGAAGTCCTAAATGTAACTAAGACTTTTCTAAGAACCAAAGCAAAATCGGTTCAGCTAATCGATATTCGCGCACATGCAGATAGACAAGTCACATTGACAACCTCCTTTCTTTTGAAGTCGGTTAATTATATGAGTACAAACGCAGAAAAAGCATATATTTACTTTAAAAAAATAAAAACGTGCCACAAAAATGTTCTCAAAATCTTCCTAAATATACACAAATTACGCTGACATAAACTTATTTTTCTCTCACCCTTTAAGTGCTTTTTAACACGGGAGATGTTCAGCTATTTACCTTTTATAACTTGACCTTACTCAGCATACAAAAAACATATTGATACGAGATCATCTTACATTGGATATTCAGAGTGTAATTTTCTGTCGTTTACATGTATATTTTGCAAGGTTTTTTCAAAAAGGTCAACGAACCGCGAATTAAGCCCGTGTCACATCTGTTTGAGGCGCAATTATTTACAAAAGTGCCAAAAAGAGATCATTAAACCCGTTATGCTCATAACCTTTTATCATTGGAGCGAACATCCCTTACATTTTCTGGTCCTCCGGGCCGGATCCATCCTTTCCGACCCCAAAGCTTTGGTATTTCATCTTACCCTGGAAAGCTAAAATGAGTTCCAAAGTATCTATTTCGAAATTAACTATGTACTTAGGTTATCATTTTCTAGTACCTAAAATCAAGAATTATTTAGCAGACGTCTTGGAAGTATATACAATACTTTCTGAATAAAGTAATTTGTAAGATAACTATATAACACATATTCAATAATTTTAATGTGAGTCAGAGAAATGGACTTTCTATGCTACGGTGTACCGTAGCATACAGGGTGCTAGGCTGCTACGTCATTTTCTTAGTCCATTTTTTGATCATTGTTATTCATAAATCATCCCTCTTAAAACTAAAAGATTTTCTGGGAAAATTGCCAATGATTCCACTTCATATGCACAGTTTGACAAAATTAAATCAAGACAAACACAAGGTATGTCCTCCTTACACACGCATGTTCTACAAAGTTAAATAAATAACTCAAAATAATTGTGTAACTTATATTCCACGTTTATCGAAACCTATCGAATATCTAATCAATTCTAAATTCCTTTTAGGTACTTAAAACCTACTAAAACCGATTAATTTTTAAATTCAAGTTGTATAATATAATACAACTTCTTTGACATAAACTTTACGGCCTAACACGTTTTTTGCTGTAATATAAACAAGTATATAATTATGGACAGTAGCCAGTACCATTATTATTTAATTTAAATACATTTTATATTGTTAGATCTATAACCTTGTAATCTAATATTGATTGGTTCGAAGACAAGACAATGGAATATGAAGATATAGGGATTCATTGATGTTTGCATTAATGTTAGGTAGGAGAATATAAGGTCTATTCTATTCAATAGTACAACAATACATAGATATTATTATGCTACAAACCTTCTTTGTTGTACCTTTATGATAAAGTAGCTGTTGCTTGAGACTTCGTCCTCGTAGAATATGAGTTTCAAGACATAACTTTCATTTTGGTTTTAATTTTCCAAAATAAAAGTAGCCTATGTTACACCTTAGTACATCAGCTATCTGCCAATGAAAGTCCCGTCAAAATCTGTCCAGTCATTGTAGAGATCTGCCAGTACAAACAAACAGACATACAGAACGACAAAAATTGTAAAAAATGTTATTTTGGTTTGTGTATCGTTTGTATATTTATATGCATATAGTAAAAAGCAAAATTAATTTAACATTACTATTTACCTGTTTAAATTACTTAATTGGGTTTAAAATCGTTGATCGTTGATTTCATAAATTGTAAATTCATGATACAACTTTTTATTTAACTTGCATTGTATATGAAGTGGAACCTTGCAACTGTATTTTGGAGCAGATATCATCAACAAATTGAGCTGAAATTTTATATACACGTTTAGTTAGCATGCATAAATATTTAGCTGCATAAAGACGTGTTCTTAAAAAGGTTTAATTTTTAATTTATTTTCTTAACCAACTTAAGTCTAATACATAATTATAACATCTACTTTTCCTCAAAAACATAGCTACATCTTGCGTCTTGACTCAGCGACTTCAATGGCCACAAAGTTCGGCGATGCCCAAAGACCAACGATGCCTTGTTAATTTAACCTTTCCTCTGTACGAGTTCGGACAAAGGCCATTCGTTTTACTTTTACACGTAATCATTCAGTTGTGAAATGGGTGTTTTTATTGACAAATTTAGTGTAAAAGAAATTTTTAGTTTTTGACTAATTATAGATATTACCACATGTGCTGATAAGTATCAGGCAATTTTTATCATTTCATCGATATAATCAAGAAAGAGAAGACAGATCATAATAATATATGGGTTTTCTGTCACAAGAAAGATGAATAAGATAATTACATATAGAAGTTTGAATCTTCTAACGGTAATAGATCAAAATATACATACTTTTTTTGCTATTTTTGCATAATGATGAAAGAAAAAAAACTATCATAAATAATAAACGATAATAATACTAATAAAGGTTCGATTTTTCAAGGCAATATAAAACTCTCAATTCACGCTTATGTTCCTTACCGGTAACGAAATCACTTCTTTATTTTATATGAAACAACAACGTGTAATTCACCGGTAAACAGAAGTTGATCTAAAACGCAAAATATGTAAATAACAAATATTTGATCTGGTAGCTATTGGTTTATCGAGTTTATTTAGCTTTACAACAAATTGTTTCTTTTTCGAAACATTAATTTTCCGCAGTTTTATCTTGTCTCATAAATATTACAACTGTTAATAGGGAAATAGAAACGAGACCCTCGAGTGCTGTTTTTGATCATTATCTTCGCTTCGAGTGAGAAAAGTATTTTCACGAGTCATAAACTTTGTATGATAGAGGTTCAGACAATGTATGTGAATTATTTATTATAGAAATAGAGATTCATTGTGTAGTTGGTGAGAATATTTGTCGGCGCCGCAGTCATTATTTTGTAAACTGCGAATGTAATGGGCGAGCAGTGAACAAACAACTGACCGACGTCACTTCAACCCCACCACCGAGTGATATATAAAGCAGCGCAAGCGCAAGCTCGAGTCAGTCGTTCGTCGATCGTTGCCCAGTTCACACGTTACGCAATCGCTGAGTAATTTTATTGTTGGTTTTATTTGAGTGTTTCCTTTATA